CCACTGGACAGGAGTAGGAGCCTTGTCCCTGTGGGTCTCAGTGTGAGTGCCATTGGAGGAGGCAGTCTGGGATGCTGTGGGGAAATGGGGTTGATGAAGAGCTCCTATTTCTGCAGAACTGGTGGTATTTATCCCACCTTTGCTAAACTCCAACCCGTCAAAACAGCTTTTCTTGCATTTTGTGTAACATCACTTTGCCGACTTTGTACCTGTGGAAATTTGATTTGCAAACAACCTGCCTTTATTCCTCTCTCAGACATGCCATTTCTGTATCAAACACCCTCCCTATCAATATCCACCACAGAGCATCAAAGGCCAGCTTCAGCCTCCCTACCCTCTCCCCATTAGGAGGGGATGGAGTAAATCAGCTCTCCAGCTGGTCCCGAAGGCTTCCAGGCTATGCTGGAAGATGAATTGCACCATTGGCTTTTATGACTAATGCAGAGCAATCATACCAGGACTTTACAAAGTGCCATACATCTTCAAAGAGCTGTGTGTCCATTAGCTAAATAGCTCTGCTGAACACAGGACAGCCTGCAATAGTGCATGATGGGGGGGAAATTGTACATGTTTCCCTCCATCTGAAATACACCTGAATCCATGTGGGAGCTCCTTTTTATCACGATAAGCCTTTAGATGAGGTGAGCACAGTCTGTAATCTGCAGGACACAATGCAGGTGTGAGAACACAGGACCTGATTGCCACCACTGCACTAATAAATATCCCAAATTAACCAAGAGATGAGCTGTCGACTCTGGAAATAAAGCTCCTGCACCCTCTGCTGGGGAGAGTGTCGTGCCTGCACAGCCTGGCACATCCTGGTCAGATGCTGGCTTTTCACAGGATATTAATCTAGAAGTCCTTATTTTGCCATGGAAATACCCAGAGGGATGTGGCTGAGATGGGGAAGACAAGAGGGGATCTCCCCCCACCCCAGCCCTTCCTGCCATGCTGAACTAGAAAGCCTGCAGACCTCAGACGAGAAGGAAGCTTTGAATAATATATTCGATGCTATCAATAAATCATGGGATAAAATCAAAATGTGTTTCTTCTCCTCCCACCCTCATCTTGAAAGGCAAGAGGCCAGGAAATATTAATACTCAGGTCTTTGGTATTTCCCATGCAGCAGCTTTTCCCACCTCACAAAATATCCTGTTCCTTAAAAGAAAACATGTTTTGTCCCATTTAAGAACCCGGCTGCGCTGAATCCCTTTATTTTTGCCAGTAATGCTGTTTTCCTCTACAATAGCCAGAGTGAGACATCCCAAGGGAGACTTCCTAAAACTGGGGAAGACCCCAAATTTGTCTGCACTCTTCCCTTATTTGGGAATGAAATCCAGATGCTTTGAGCTACTGAGCTGGGTTGGGGGGACATTGTGTGTGTGTGTGCTCAGTTCTGACAACAATCTCCTGCTTCTCCCCAGAAAAAAAGCTCCAAAGGTAGCTGGTTGTAAGGGATGTGTCCCTGAAAGTCCTTAGAAATTCCACTGTGTTTGTCTAATTGGTGTTTAACTACAGTTACCAAGGGTTTTCTGGGCTCTGAAGGACCCAGAAGCTGAGCTGGAAAAGGAGGAGAATGAGTCTGCTCCGTTTAGGGGATGCTGAGCAGCAGCGGGCGGGTTTCCAGCGCGGTGCTCAGCAGCATGTTCACTCTGCCATCTAGGGTCCAGCTCCGGGCAGGCTGCTCATCTCCCTCCTCCCAAAGAGGAGCTCTGGCATTTCTGCAGGATGGGCTGGAGAGGACATTTCAGCTTCGAGCCTCTCTCATACAGGCAGCACACGTTGGTAAGTTAACGCAGGTGGGTTTGAAGCGATGCCAGCGCCTGGATCTTTAGGAGAGGGAGATCCAGAGGTATCACCACCTCCCTTGGCCATGTCACTACTGAGCAGGAGCTGTTTTGTTTGAGATTACTTTTATATTTGCTATTTCCCTTTCCACACAAAGAAAATGTGCCTCCATGTGTTTATCCATCTGACAATGCTTCACTGGTGAATAGCAGGGAGCTGGGATTACGTGATGCACCAGTTCTCCCAGTTCATCCATTGTGCCTTGGTGAGTGCTGCTGTTTGGTTTTACCACCTAATTGAAAGTGTCTTCATTGATTTATATTCACTGGCTCCTTCATACTCTTATTTCAGTAAAAGCTTCAGCTGAGTCAGGAGAAAACAAAGAATAAAATCACATTTTAGCATTTATCTTTTAAGAAAAAATCAGGACCTGAAAAGACACAGATACCATGTTTTTTTCTCAGTTTGGAAAACCAACCCCAAAACCATGCACTGCTTTTGTGCTCAAAAAGGAATTGAGCAGAAAGCTGCAAAAATTAAAGTAATGCCAGTTCAACCAAACCCTCACACTGGTGCTGACCAGTGACACAGGGAGAAAAAGAAACAGCAAGGATTTCTACTAATTTTTGGTACTAGAAAGTTGGAGTGATAAAGTGTGTCACTGCATCTAAAACATTGGTTTAATAAATCATTGGGAAATGTGTAATTTATAGGTCTGGTCATGGGGGAGTGCCTGGGACTGGCACAACCAAAGCCAAAGTGGAAAGAGGAGCTCAGGGATATTTGTTTTATTTAGCAACTAAGTTCAGTGGTTTGAAGAGCAATCTTATGGCCTTTTTAATAGTATCCAAAAGTCTCCTCCCTCTGCCTCTGCCTCGTGTTAACAGTCTTTCAAGGGCAAGGAGATAAAAAGTTTGCTCATGAGTTTTGTATGAACAATCTCATGTTCCATTATTCACCAAATTCCTTATTCATGCCAAATTACATAAGCTTTTAAAGTGTGTCCCATGCCCTCTTCCTTCCACTTCCATTTAAGTCTGCCTTTCTCTTTAACTATGTATTATTAACTTCCTTACATAAAGAGAGTGACCACCTTGCTGAAAAAGGTTTCTCTTTCCAGAAAGACACTTTATAGCCAAAACCACCATTAGGTTACTATTGATGGAAATGGCAGAGAGCTGCCAAGAAGGCAATAAGGGTAAATTATATCCCAGAGCAGAGCTGGAGCAGCATTAAATGAATCAGAGAGATTTCATTCATGGTTCTGCCACTGAGTTATTGCACAGTTTCGGGAAGGAAAAAGGTTTCTGCCCACCCAGATGGGCAGATGAAAACCCAAATATTGGAATCAGGTGTTATTTGGATCAAAAGCTGGAGTTGGCCTTTTTTTTTCACCTTGGACTGAGAAGCATCAGCTCTAGGTGTCTTAAATGGGGTGCCCAAAAGTAGAATTGACATTTTACAACCTGAGCCTTCATCTTGTAACAATTCCTGCTTACCCCTCCAGTGAATAAGCAAGAAATGTTCCTTTAATTTCCAAGGATAGTAAATGGTCTAATTAGTTAGCAAACAGAAATACCCAGACTGGGATTCTGCTTAGGTACAGAGCACAGCAGAGATTTTGGCAATGGGTTCATCCTGCAGAACTTCAGACCCTGTATGTGCATATACAATCCCAAACAACAATGCTTGTTTGGGAAAAATTTTAATTAACTTATTAAACCTCGTTAGAATCAGTGAGCTGTGAACTTCCATGGGAGCATCCCTGAGTTACTGCAGCATCGTGTTGTCACACCTCCTTGGGATCCAGCTCCTGGCATCCTGAGGGACCACATGCTAGAAAGCACTGAGGGCAAAATATCCCTGCCTAAAGAATTTGAATATAAATCATTTTCCCTTGAGAAACTCCAGCTTTGAGAAGAGCAGGTAGATGTGTCCCCATGATAGCCAGGGCAACCACAATCCTAGGGGATTTAGTTGGTTTGTATGAATTTCTTCTGAGGCTCCAACATTTACTTCTGTTGCCAAAAGAGGGACATTCACCACTGCAGGGAAAAGGGCCCTCCTGAGTTTTCTTCTGGACTGGACTATCAGGGTACTGGGGGCCAATTGGCAGGGAAAAGCAATGCCTCCTCCTGCCTGCTCTCCTCTCCTGGCTTGGTGAACATGTGAGCAAGGGCTGCAGGTCTGCCCAGCAGTTTTGCTCTGCTCTGGCTCCAGCAGCATCCCTGCTCAGGTTGTGGGGGATGCTGCAGGACAGGCTTTGGATGCAGCACATAATCCTGTTCAGATGATAGGGGAATGTGCCTCAGCAAACTGAGAATTCTCCTGCTCATCTCACTGGTGTGAAACATAATGAGATAAAATCTAATGATGTTCCTTAAGCACACTCAGTGTGCTGTACCCACGGGGAAATGCTCACACCTGGCCTTCTCTAATAGCTCTGGGCAGGATGGAGCTGTTGAAGGCTTCGAGCCAAGTCCTCTGGCACAAGCAGGGGCTGCTGTGCCTGAGCACAGTGTTCCTTCTGCCAAGCCTCTTTCACTGCCTTGCCCAAATGACTGGCAGGCTCTTTAAAACACAGGCCCTGGTTCTTCTAAATTCTCTCATTTCATTTTTCTGGAAGAAATATCAGTATGGAGGAAGGATTTTATTTTTTCCTTTTCTCATACAAAATGGAACTGCTGTTTCATCAGCCACCCTTGCTGTGGGAAGCACTGTCAGTCAATCCACTTCACTCCTAGACAGCGCTCCAAAATCCAGCACGTGATTTCTTAATTTAGGGCTGATGCCTGGTAAGCAAGATAACTCGTGGGATAACAGATAAAAATCCCTTCCCAGTGCCATATATTGGCTCTGAGCCCACCTCAATGACACCAGCTTCAATTTTTAGCAGGGTGATGAAGAGCTGGCATGGGTAGTGAAGAATTCCAATCTTTTATCTGTCAGGATGTGGCTTAAAGAAAGTCAGTGTTGCTAGAGGACTCTGAAGGGTCAGTGTCCTTGTAACTAAGGGCACTTGAGATTTCTGAGCTTGATTTTATAAATCAGAAAGTATTGTTTAACATTAGATATAAGAAATGGAGTTGTGAAGGTTTAATGCCAGGGAGGGCCAGGCCCTCAGTCACCATCTCACTCCTCTTCATCAGCCATTAAGTATGTCCCCAAAACACCAAGAAATCCCCAGAAATAAAGAAACACAGAGAACAGAAGAAGTGCAAAGAAAAATAAATGTGTATTTCATCTCATGAAGGTTAAATCTCTGGTATTTTTACTGAATGCAAATTTTCCATTCTGATGCTTCGAGGCTTAAATTAATGACTGTGATTATTTAATTTCCCTCCGTTTCCCTTCCGATTGCAACTGTCGCTGCTGTTTTTCACATCACACATGTAGAGTTTTGCAGCTGCCACAGTCTTTCATGTGAAGGTACACTCTGAATCACACTCAGTGCTTCAGTGTAAAAGTCTGGGCTACGTCGCTCTCCCGCAGTGCTTTTGTAAAACCGTCTGTGACTGTGTCACTCAGCTTCCAGCTGAGTCCCTTAGGAGACTACAGGTCATTCCCTTGGCACCTGACCCTATAAAATGTACATTGCACGAAGTCATGATTGAAAATGTACAGAGGAAATTACACATTCACCAGAAAAAAAAAAAAAAGAAAAAAAAGAAAGAATAAAAAAGAAAGAGAAAAAAGGAAAGCCCGATTGCTATTTTACAAGAGAAAGTGTGTACCATTCCATACATACAAAATGTTTTAAAATTGTACATAAGTACCAAAGGCATTATGAGAGATTCTTTGGAGATGAAACGAAAGTGCAAGAAAGCCAAGGCAACAGAGCAAATGAAAGGAAGCAAAGCAGCAGCTGTCTTTGCTTTCTGAAGGACAACCAAACTTCCGCGCTCAGCCGAGCCCCAGAGTTTTAGGAGCGGGAGGTGAAGGTGTGCAGCACCCACCCTCGTCCCAGTGTGAAAGCCACCTCTCAGCTCTCACTGTCAGGACAAATGCATGAACCATTTTTAGCCCAGTTAAGGCCAAATGAGTCAGATGCTGTTATAAACCAGGATAACGTCCAGGTATCTCAGGGAAACGGCAACATACTCCAGCAATGGATGTACCCCTTGCTTAGTAACCTATTTAAGACTTTTTTTTTTTTTTTTTTTTTTGCAGCTCTTAAAGCTGAGAACTTTGGACCTAGAGACGAATTTCAGGCCAATGCAAAAATTTGACTGCTATTTTTTCAATGGCATTCAGCAGTACTTGACTGGAAAAGTTAGCTTTTCATGCCTTTGTTTATTTAGATTAAACACTGAAGGGTAACTTGTACCCAATATAACTCTTATATCTGTGAAAATATGGGTAAAATGAAATCCTAGAGGATGATTCATTTAGTGAGGCTGGTGAAATCTCTGAATAGAGGCAATTGGAGTCTGAAGTCTGATCTGCTTTGAGAATCAGATTTTGTGATTATAACCTAGTCATTTCTTCCATAACTCTAAGATCAAAGATGGGCTTTTGATGACTCTTTTCTTAAACATCTCTTAACCAGGGACTTTTTTAAAAATATGTAGGCAAGGGTAAGACCCACAAGGCAGTGGGATCCTCTGCCTGGGCAGGAGCCAGGTTTGTGGGAGACCATGGCATTGCCATCAGCCAGCACTGCTGCTTTGGGACACTCTGTCACAGCACGTAAAGCCTTCACCCCTGGCTCTCTGATGGCATGGGACAACTGTTTGGCCACATATCCTAGGAATGGGCTTTTTGGACTTGAAGTTGGCACTGGCCACTGAATTCTATTTGTTTGTTTGAAAGGAAGCCAAAGAAATTATCATTTAAAGAACTGCATTGCTCTGCTGCATGGCCTGTGCTGCCTTCAGAAGTAAGATTTCTCCTTGGGATGGGAGTCACACATCAATTCCCACTGCAAATCTTCCTTTTTGATAGAAAGACATTATTAAAACAGTCTTTTGGTTTTGTTTTACCCGCTCTCTCACCTCCAGAATTGAACTTTTCCCCCTCCTTGTGCATCTCAGATGCAGCTTTATCTGTTTTGAAGCGTGTGTGTGTGCACGTGTTCGTATCCACGTGCACATACAGCAACACGTAGGTGCATGTACACAAACCACATGCACGTGTTTTTGCAGCCAAAGTTGTGTTGTCCTTTTATCTTGCAGGTTATGACAAAGATAAACTGTGAACTTCATTCAATCTGTACAGAATTTACAGTTCAAATGTATAGCAATGAAGAATATATAGGAATACAGCAGCTGTTAAGTATTTATGGGCCGTGTGTGTTTGTTTTGTTCCGGTTATTTTTTTAATTAACATTACAAAGGCAATCTCTTATTTTAGCTTCCTGATAAAATCTGTTTAAAGAAGCATTCAAATGCAGTAAATTTCTTAACAGGGTGTTCATTTTCCTCTATTCCCAGTTATGTTGAGTCTCATCACAAACCAGGCAGGTGACACTTTGGTGTCTGTTCAACGCACATACGCTGATTACATGTAGAGATACCTACCAGCATATGGCATGTAATGTGCAATCTGTGTGCAGCACACGTGGATAATGTGCCAAAGTGACACTAAGCAAGATAAATTTCATAAATACAACGTCTATATTGGAGAAACAGGAGTATAGTTTTAGTGTGTGGAGCATTGCTGCGTAAGAACAGCGGCACCCACCTATACAAATTACTGATAAAAGAATGAAACATTTATAAGAATAATTTATTTAATCTCCTAAAGCATTTGATATACCACGCAGCAACTGCCACTATGCTTTACATGCTCTTGATTTAAAATAACAAAATCTCTGTCATTTATCAGCTATATCTGGTTTTGCCTCGGTGTTCCTGAAGGTCTCAGGTAGTCTACATTGTGCGTGAATTTTTTGAGAAAAAGTGAAAAAAATTCAAATTTTAGGGTTTGTTGGGGAGGGAAGAGTAGCCAACACGGAAAGGTCTCCATTCTGCCTGCTGACAGGAGCATGGGATAACTTCAGCTCCAGGGAAGATGCTGGACCAGTGCAAATAACCAGGCAGGACTGAAAAGACCTGTCACCAGCCTCGATGACTTGTCCTCAGCAAGGCTGAGCATGGTGTTCACAGAGATGCTAAAGGACTGAGACCTCCATATCCACATCTGTGATAAACCCTTTTCATGAGCATCACTGCACATGGAAAACACTGGGTCATGGCCACTGTGTTGGTCAAGTTTAAGGGATCACCAATAAATGCTGCTTCTGCTTTAATGGGAAGTGCCCATGGCATATCAAAGTAAGGAGGCATTTTCCCACTGTGGCTTGCAAGGCTTGTGCTGACCTTTTCTTGTGTGGAGAGGGAAGAAGAGAACATCTCCCCAGGTCCAGAGTCATCAGTGTCAAATGGAGCTGAAATTCCAAGGCAGGCTTTGTTGGCAGCATGACATTCAGCCTTGTTTTGGGGTCAGAACCACATAAACTGGAGATTCTGACATGGCTTCTACCTGAAATCATTAGCCCTGCCCTAAAATTATCAGTGTAGCTGCAGGTGAAATCCAGCCTGAGCTTGGCACTGAGTTTTGGAAAGCTCTGCAGTGAGCTCAAGTTTCTCAGCATTAGGCAAACAGATGCTGCTCGAGAAATTAATCTGCAGTTGTATTTACAGGAACTGGGAGAGGGCAAGATGCTTGCAGGTTCACTGGCAGCTTTGGAAACAGCACAGCTTGCACCACCTGCTTTCCAGTTCTCCCCATTATCAAGCCTGCCATGCACAGCCACATGTATGGGTCACTAAAGGGGATGGGGGTCTTGAAAACAGCTCCTGCTTCAGGAAGCAAAAGCATCCACAGTGGTAGAGCCTGTGAGCTCTTCTCTGAGATGTTCAGCTGGACAAGAAAACCTGAACTGAACCCTCATCCTTGTTTCACTGCAATCAGCAAAAGCCATGGGGACAAACCCTCACAGGGCACTGCACAGAGGGACAACACAGACTCCATCCCTGGGTGGAAAGGCTCCAGCAGAACAAACCAGGGATGTGTTGAGGCCATGGTGGCTCAATAAGGAAGCAAATAAAATGCCAATAAAAAGCAAAACTGTCATGCTAACCAAATATGAAGGCTCTCTGGTGCATCTAGTGATGTCAGGCCAACAGCAAGTCCCAGTGCAGAGTTCTGGCATTACAGCTTCACTGGTAAATAGTATGGATAAGGAAGGTGAGGATATAGGACCAGGGTCAAACTAGATCATGGCAGCAGTGCCAAGAGATACAAGAGAATGCAAACACGAGCAAGATGGGCAAACACTGAAGGCCTCGTGACAGTCTGGTATTAAAGTGGGGAAAACAGTGGCAAAACATTTATGGACATAAAAAGGTAGCTCAGTGCCACTCCATGAGGAGAGTAAGAGATGCTTCCATGAGGAATGGCTATGGCACAGCTGCAGGGTCCCCAAGACCACCAAGGGCTGTAGACAAGGGCGAATGAAACTTTCAAAGAGGGATTTCCAAAGTTTTGGAGTGACAACCCCCCTGCCCCTCGGGCTGTGCTGCAGGCACAAACGCACATGCACCCCAAAGCAGGGTGCAGGTGAGAGTGTCCTATGGAAATTAAAACAGACATATGGCAAGTCCCACACATGTGGGTTCAAATGGCATCTCTGAAATTAAGACCAGTCCTCCATCCTTGGCACTGCCTGCTCCTCTGGACCCTCAGAAAGGGGTATCTGGGATGCTCTTTTTCAGAGGCATCTGGATGGAAAGGAGGTTCTTACACACGGCCAACACAATTCATATTTTTTCCTCCCCGTGTGCACGTTTGAAGGAACCACAAGTACAAACATGGGTTTTTTACCCCGTAGTTACAAGCAGAGGTGGAGTCTGTGCATGCTGTATCAGAGGGATGGGGTGAAGACCGGTTGCAGCATGAAAAACACTTGGTATATCAGTGTTACCTACAGAAGCACCGCAGCACCGTATGAGATGGTCACTGTGGGGACAGGCTCTCCCCAAAATGATGCTTTTGGCAACGTTACCTTGTCAGGTACTACAGCAATCTGGGAGTGCAGATACAGCTGGAGCATACTGCTGTCTACTCATCTCAGGCTGCATGCAGTAGCAGGCAAAATTGAGAGTACAGTCAGTGAGATAGTCCAGAAAGCACATTCATAGGTTAAAAAGGACCCCGCTGCTACCTAAATTAGAAGCGTGATTAATAGTGTATCAAAAGGTGTGTAATCCCTCTCCCTCTAGACACTAATATAAGGCAAGCAGTATTGTGTCACTGGGGCATCAAACACTAAGATATACTAAAGAAGATTCCTATGCAGTATTATTATCCTTATTATTAAAAACCCACCCTATTGTTATTGTTAAAAAAAACCAATGAGCCCACACCCCTGCTCGAAGCAGATTTTGCTCTGTGAGGCAGAAAAGTCGGGGTGTTTTGTGTGCTAAAAGCAAGAGTTTGCTTTTACACCTCTGAGCAGCAGTGACCCCGTGAAGCTCGGAGGGGCTGCTGCCCTCAGCCCTCCACCACGGCCCTCTGCAGCCTCAATGTTACCTGCAGGTGAAGGAGCTTTTGTATCTGATTTCCTTGTTTCTGGTTCAGGAAAAGGATGCTGATGAAAACAGAAGATGCCGACCTGTGATGGAGAGAGGGGATGGGAGAGGATGCAGGAGCACAGCTACAGTCGGAGGGCTGTGCTGGGAAGGAAAGGTTGGAGGCTCAGGGCTTCACTCTCAGCCTGAGGGTTCATATGAGGGAGAAACAGAAATCCTTATCCTGCTCCTGGGCTTTTTAACATTTCCCAAAAAAATACTCACTGCTAAGGGTCTTCATATGGGACAACATTTGGGTAAAGTCCTTAGGAATTTCAGTTTCTTTTTTAATTTTTACATTTTAGTTTTAGCAATAATGTTGCTGTGACCAAAGTAGTCTGAGGATATCAGGGAAATGAGGTTTCCAGTAATTCTCTCTAGGAAAAAGTATGAGTGAAGGTGTTCTTTTCTCTTGGGTAACTGGTTGGAAGGGGAGCATTTGTATCTGAGGTGATGCTCTGGCTTCTCAGGTAGATAATATAAACTTGTTCTAAAAATTCACATAATTTAAAATTTTAAAAATCAATTAAAAATGTAAAAATATACCTATTTATCTGTAAATAGTAATGACCCTGCAGAATTTATTTGGATCTATTAAGTAGCATTTGAAATAAAACACATTTTTAGAAAATCTGATCTATCACAGAGTCTGCCTAAAGAAATATAATGGCTTTCTGAGCTGGACAAGAGGTTTGTTTTCGGTGAGCTCCTTGACAGTTTTAGCTTTAAAAAGTATTATTAAGAAAATGATTCAACAAGGAAATTCACATACAAAATCTGCACTTGAGTAACATTAAAGTCCCTTCCCAAATATTGGGAAATCTGACTTATGGCTAGTGCTCTGTTCCTATGTTTGGGGTCACATTATGAAAGGCCACCTTGCAACATCTCCAGACACGTCGCCTGGTCAGAGACATGAACTCCTCAGACCACCTGAACTCACACTTGTACCTGAGGCACCCAAAAACTGACTGTGGGTTCAGGTCCCAGTCCCAGACATTGCTCCATCCCACAGGGGGGAGTCAACTGCAGTATTTCTCCCTAGACCTAGACCCAGATTCTGGAAAAAAAAAAAAAAGCCCACTCAAAACCTTCTTGGAGATCTGATCCAAGGTCATGGCTTCACATTCAGCACAGGTTCTGGGCACAGAACCACACAGGGACATGGGCATCCCTGGAGCAGTTCAAGATGGATGGCCTGCTGGAAATTTGGCTTTCACTTCTTCTTCAGCTCTCTTTGGACTCCTCTGTCCACACTTGGCATTGCCTAAAACTTGTTTCTGTCCTCCAAAAAACATGCAACAAGACTTGGGAGGGAGAGGGGAGCAAAGACCACCCCAAGAGAGGCTCAGCAGTGGGACAAAGTTTGCTTGTCCATCCTCTTAAAGCCTGCTGGGACCTTTAAAATTGGGATTGCTTTATTAGCAAAACTGATTTAGTTTCTTTTAATCTAGTAGTTAAGATTTCTTGTGGGAGATTATCACCAGGAGTGAGTGATACAGGCATGGGGGAGCTCAATGGCTGAAGGTGAAGACTTTGCAGGGAGTAGTGGACTACAATTTAGGGCAGGAATTAAATTATTTATGTCAGTAAGCAACAAGCAGGCAATGTCATTGTTTCTGCAGGCTTAAATCATTTCAGGGAAATAAGGAGCATTATTTGGAGCTAATTCTGGTATAAGTTAACCCCCAAATCCAGGTCTGGGTGAATGAGAAGTGATGATTTATGGCATGCTTGTGGATGGAGGTGTGTGTCAGAATTTCTTTGATATGAAGCCACAGAAAAACGTGGAATAAATCTCACACCTTTCAAAAAAAATTCTGTGTGAAATATGTTGCAGCCAGATATGATCTGTGTTGCATATGTATAAAACCAGTTTTCTGCAATTAGTGATTACGGAACAAATCCAACAACTTTTAAAGATACACGTTAAAAGATGTGTTTTATAGACTCCAGTAAGCTGAAGAGGGTAAACTCAATTCTTCCTATGCAGGCCCTGAAGATGAGCTTTAAAGTCCCTTCCAACCCAAACCATTCTATGGCTCTATGAATCTATGATTCTGTGACTCTATGAAAAAAGACCAGTCGTGTACCTGTGCTGCAACAGGACTGCATGACATCATCCTCAGCCTCATCTGGCATTCTTGCCTTTATATCATACCCTTCTGTGACAAATTTCCAGCAGGCCTTGAAAGGTAATTGCAAACAAATAAGACAATAAATCTTTGTTATCTCTGACTTGGACAAAATTTGCAGTGAGCAGCTGGCTGGAGCAATGTTGATTTTTGCCTCACCTAATGCAATTTCTATTCTTGTGGGCAGTAGAAAACACAGGCCACCAAGTCTGATTTAGGACCTGCTGACACTTCTTGCTTTACCAGAAGGCATCTCATTTTGGAACATGCCACAGGCAAATCTGCACAATTTACAGCCATTTGGCATTTAAAGTTGCCTGCGTGTGGAAGTCAAGGGCATCGCTGCTTTCACTCTGCACAAAGAAATCTGGAGCCAAAAAGAGTTCTGGAGCACAAACAGAGAGGGAAAAATTGCAGAAGTTAACCAAAATATGGCTCAAATGGTAAAGAAAGGAAGCAGCATGGCTGGAAGCCCAGGGTCCCCCTAAGAAAAATGTTTTCCCCTCCTGAATGGTGAAAAATGGCAGGAAAAATTGCGCAGAGCCTTTATTCCCTTTCCTCAGTTCATGTGAAGACCTGTGTGTTGGTCCTGGGCACTAGCAAAAGAACAGCTTTATTTCCTGTCTGCAAGCATTCAGACTGCACCCACATCTTCCCTAAGGCTGAAATCATCCTGGCTCTCTCCTGGTTACTGTGCCTGGTCAAGCAAACAGGTGGAGAGAAACAGGCTGTGAGTCTCCCTTTGACCCGAGCAAGCCGATGTTCAACCTCTGAAAGGCCACACAGAAATGAAATTCTCACCTAAATGTCCTTAACAGGCTCTTGATAAGACACAGGGAAAATGTGGCAAGACAGGGTTTGAAATCACAGACACAGCCCCAGCAGGAAACACGTGTGGGATTTGGGCTGTGAAAGCACAGGAGGGTTCAGAGGCACAATGCCAGCCAGGGTGTCCCAGCCCTGGAGATGGATCCCAAAAACAACCTCTCCTGATCCACCCCCTTCCAGAAAAACCCCACCAATTTATCCACGGAAAGGATCACTTTGTGACTTTGTTTTGGTCCCAAAAGAAACTTTGAGCATCACTTTTCCCCTCACCTTCCCCCAGCTGAATGCACCACTGAGGTTCCTGGTAATGACACAACGATCTTTCCAAAAGGAAGTACTTGAACAACAATGAAACGGGGCAGACTTGGATTGGCACAACTCGCAGGCAAGCATGGGTAAGAGGTTTCTGAAAGACCATGAAGAAAACCCCTTAACTCAGCTTGAGGGATCCAAACAAACCAAAGGATGTCCCGAGAACATGGGTGTGAGTTTTTTGGCAGGGCAGAAGAAGAAAGGGAAGATTTTCACAGGCATAGTGTGTGCAAAAGTGTTCAGGCACGATGCAAACTGTAAGAAAAGTGCCCATTCTGACCAACAGGGCTTCCACAGGATGGAGCTCAGCAGCTCACAGCAACACGGGGACCACAGAATCCTGCATATCCACCCTCCCCCTCTGGCCTGGTGGCTGTGCCTCCACAATGGCCATGAGAATGGCTTCACACCATGGCAGCCTTCCAGAGGGGTTGCCTTTGGTTTGTCTTTGCTTTCAAAGCACCCCCAGGTCCCTTGTCAGCAGGAGGAGAGATAATTAAATATAATACATGGTTTAAAATAGAAAATTCCAGCCCCTGTAGTCTCTTGTCCTCCTTCTGTCTCTTTTCTCTGCCCCCTGGATTGTCCCTCTTCTTGCACTCAAGATCATAGTTCTGAGTTTTTCAGTTTCCTAAGATGGGATAGTTTCCAAACTGTTCTGGTCCAGAGCAGTATCCTAACCTATCCCACTCCAAGGCCATGTCTTTTGCTCATGCAAATATCCTGGCCACCATCCCTCTCCTCCAGGGGCTCTATGCAACATTTCCATATATTATATTGGAATTATGCCACCTTCCTGACAGCTAATGAGGAACCACAGAGTACCAACCCCCTGTAATTACACGTGATCTGAAATCTAAGCCGGAAATAATGTGTTCATTCCAAACACCAAAACACCTAAAGGTGTAATCACGGGTGCCATGACGTAGCAACTCCCACCTAACACTTGTCAGCCACCAGTTCCTGTGATCTACAAAAGCCCTGGCTGGGTGATTTATTCCTGCCCTGCGCTTCTGAAGATTCCCAAGAAATGCAAACTGCCTACCCTGTGCCATGAAATAATTTCACCTAATGATCTTAGAAAGAGAGTATGAAAGAAATCTGGACTTCACGGCTCCAGTTGGCCCACCACCGTGACCTCTTCCACAACCGCAGGCTCGGACCTGCTCGTTCCCCCACCCAGAGTAAGCTGCAAGAAAGTATCTGCCAGCTAAGGATGTCCTAGGAGGAGGAAAACCTTAGCTGTCGATCTCCTTGAGAAGTTCAGCATGTGGACAGCTGGAGCGGGCAGCTGCCAGCGCTTGGACGTGGCTCAGCGGCTGCAGGAAGGCTTCACTGCCGGGGGGCTGACCAGCCCATGTCACTGAAGGGTCCCTCGCCCGTGGCCGACCTGGGAGGGGGACCACAGGGCGTGCAGAGGTCAGAATCGGTGTCTGACTCCCCTTCTGCAATGTAGGGTCTGATTTTGGCCACGGCTGCATAGCAACCGTTGTTAAGGATGTCCAAATTCTCTTTGGACTGGGAGATGCTAAAGCCGCTGAAAGAGCGCTCCAGTTCCTCGTGGTCTACCGAGGGGATGGAGATGGACGTGTCGCTGTCTCTCATGGCACTCTCATGGTGTTTGGTTGTAATGTCTTCGTTCCTCAGGTACTCTGCGCTCGCCCTGTGCCCACCGCTGTACAGGGAGCGCTCGTGGGAGGGCGGAGGTGGGATTCGGACCAGCGAGCCGGGGTCTCCGACGGGAGAGGAGCCATGGCTTTGCCGCTGGCACGACGTGGAGGGCGGGCATGCGTTGGTTGGGGCTGGTGGGGCGGAGAAGTTCTTCTGACCCATGGAGCTGGTGGACCTGATGATCTTGATGATGCAGCCGTTCTTGTCAATGTGCTCCCTGCTGTCTTCGGGGCTGTGGTAGGGAGGTGCTGGGTCTGGTTCTTTGGACCCAAAATAAGCCTCCGTCTCTGTTGGTGGGATGCCCATCCGCTGCATGTAAATGTTCACCAGGAAGTCCAGCTTCTTCTCCATTGACTGAACCTGCAAAACACCACAGTTCCAGTGCCACATGCAGGTTGAAGCACATTAACATCCAGAGTACAAGCAACTTCTATCGAGCAGCAAGAGTGGGACTGGGCTTCATAGATGACCTCTGCCTATGCTGACCCACACCACCTCAAACCCTTAGTAAATATTTAATTGTCCTGTTCTCCAGGTTTAATTCTCCACCTTGTTACAGGGTTTCCCTTGTTACAGGGTTTTCCTTATGCTGCTGTAATCTTTCTGACAGGCACCAAATTCTAAAAAAGATGAAGCACACCTGCATCCTTCCAGCTCCTTCCTGCACTTGGCACTTGTCTGGACTCAAATGGCTAGGGGGATTTCTGAGCCTTATCTTCCAAGAAGATTTTATATCTTCAGCAAGGCCATCAGCTAGAGCAGCCAGGCTCAGGGACTCATTTGTAATGTGTCTAGTGTGGTGGCAAAGAAACCAATGTGCTGTTTTCAGAAATAATGTAAACTTTTGACAAACTCACTAAAAAAAGGAAGACTATATGTCACAGACTCCAAAGTGCCTGTTTGAAAGTGGCATTTAGGCTTCTAAGACATCTAGGGACCTTTCATAACATCCACCTTCCTTCTTTTTCAAAATAATCTTGGCTCTTATTTTTTTTTTTTTTAACTAAATGGTAACATCTCACTTGGGAAAAAAGGCAAGAGAAAACCAGCGCAATGCATGCAACACCCTCTGACAAGAACCCCCTCCTGACCCAATATACCTGCTTTTCAACTTTTCCAAGCCTGCCCATCATGCTGGGGTCTTCAGGCAGCTCCCCCTCTGCTGGCCCTTTGGTCCGATCCTTGTCAGTCATGGAGGATCCTCTCCCAACGATCTGGTCAACTCTACCGGGATCAGAAAATCCCCCCACCCCCGGAAAAGGACCTGGAGTCAGTTGGAGGCAGCAGGTGAGGAGGGCTCCGCTTGTCGCGCCTCCGTGGGACAAAGCAACAGCCTCTCGCCCAACTAACACTCCAAATTACTCACAGACACGCAGTGGCACTGAAGTGTTAATTCAGATGCAAAATTCAGAGCAGTATTAGCAGAGTTTGAAATTATCCATTTCTGTTTATACAGATAAAACCCGGCACATTATGCACAGTAAATTTACCCACTGCAAAGAATTTCTTTAACTGGCTTTCTTCCAAATCAATTAACTCCTTATTTGCACTGAGAAATTATTATTTTGGGGGGAGATCAAGTTTTCTATCTGGCATGTACCAATGGGATTTTTTCAGTCTCTGCAGCAGTTTCCTCTCCTCAGTGCAAATGCACGTGTGTAATTCTCACGTCCATGAAAATGAGCTGCTTGTCCTAAGATCCCGACAAACAGGTGCAGTGTTGTTTTAGTGGAATTACATCAAGGCCATAACTCACCAAACACTAACAGATTGTTTTCATCTCAAAGATACTGCAGTTCACACCTGTATCAGATGTTTTCTATTAGCAGAGCTCCAAGCTGGGAACAGCAGAGGATACTCCTGCCAAATCAGCAGATACAGGTACTAACTTTACACACGTTACATTTGCACCTTCTCATTCCCAGTATAGATACACCTGGGATGATATACAGCTCCATAAGTATAGGAAGAAGGGAGGGAAGAGCCAGTCTGGAAGCTGGAACTCAATCTTATTTGAGGCATCAAATATAAATTTTCTCGAGAAATAAACACAGAAGCTTTTTGATCCCTCAAAAGTCAGGGGAGCCTCTCAGTTTTGCAACAGCTTCTTAATGGCAGGCCGGTTTACAGCCTAATTCTATGCCAGGCAAACTTTACTCTTGCATAATGCACCAAAAGTAAGGGTGGCAGGGGAAAAGAAGGGTTAATTAATCTGACTGAAACCAAGTTGAGGTATCTTGAGCGAAAACTCAAAATGCTTCTTACGCAGTTCTGCCGTGTGGGCCATGGGTCCATGCACCAGGAGGAGGAAAAGGAAGGAGCTGAACACAGACAGACAGGGGAAAATGAACAAACAAAAACCAAGGAAAGGAATGAGACGTGAGGCTATTTCCAACACAGGAGCCATCTGTTTTCTTTACATTTGACAGGGACTTCATACGTATGTTGGCTGTTTGACATTAAGGGACAGGTATCAGTGGGTATGGACCAGCGTGGCTCCCTTAGCTTATATTAGAGCAACAGCAGTTTACAGCACCAGCTCTGGCTCAAAGAGATGAAGTGGATGAGCACATCACATCAAAGACAGAAAATATAAGCCAACAATTATTTCAGAGTTTAGCTTTGATCCCAGAAGATACTTCATTTGGGCAGGGATGTGACAGAATACTGTTCTGCTTAAAAAGCCATGTTTGACTCTTTGCTTAGCAATATAAGCACAGGAGTACAAGGAGCACCAAGTGCTATAATTACAAGTGTGAGGAATATGCATGCCTTATTTCTCTCTTGTAATGGGAGAAGGAAATTATTAACAGGTACAGGAACTCCCCACAAGGGATGCAACTACTGACATGACATACAGCACAAGAAATCCTATGACAATGCCGTTACCATGTAAGCAAAGAGCTGTTAAATTGGATACCTCGGGCTACCTTGGTTTGGAATCACAAGTCAAGGCGTAGTACAGCCACTGTACGAACTCCTCTCCTGTATGCACAAGCAAGTAGACTTGTAAAACAATGAACATGCGTTTAAAGAGGCCCAAAGTCTAAATGCCACTGAATGCTGCAGAAGGCCTAGAACAAACGGGGTGCTCTGTCCTCCTGTCCCATCCAGCACAGCACTGACACTGATATATGTCCACTAATGGAAATGAGATGTGCCTCAACAGTTGCTGAGTAGAGCAGGGAGGCAGGACAGACTGTAACACAGAGAGGGAAAATGAGTGTTGCATTGTAATAACAGAGATAGTCTCGTGCAGCCCTAATTCTAATCTTGCAGAAAATGAGGCAGAACTTCTGCTCTCTTCCATGTCTTGAGAGAAGAGCTATCTGGTAAGTGAACCTCATATAGCCCATTTCAGGGGCCAGCTGGCACTTCACAGATGGAATGATCACTAGCATCATCTAGAACAGCACTGACTTGTCCATCCCCTTCAGGCTGGACACAACTTGCCTCTAGACCTGCTGTGATTTAGGGGCAAGACTGAAGTCCTTCACAGAGCTCACCCATAAAGCATTGAGAAGCCTTTTCCCATAAACTATTGACACCAGAGCCCAGAATTCCTGCTTGATTCATTCCCTTTGTGTCTATACTTGAACACAGCCCTGAGGAACCAGAGGGCCAGATCTGGCCTTGGGGGCAGGTCAGCACCAAGGATGGTGTGAGGGGCAGCTGTGGGACACTGACTTCAGTGCAGAGAGGGGAGAAGAAGGTGAACCAAGTCCTTCTCTCTTGATGGGAGAAACCAGGCTCGAGATCTCCCACCCCTTTGCTTCCCATGGCTGAAGCTGGACCACAGGAGAGTGCTCCAACCCTCAGCAAAGCACAGAGATTTCATTTGTGCCTTATCTGATGTAAGAGAAAAGAAGAAATTCCTTGTGAGCTCTCAACCCACCTGTACCTAGCTGAGGACTGCCAAGAGCAGGAGGTCCTTTTAGCCATTGTAAGATTTTGAGATTTTTTCCAAATTGGGCCACAAAGCTTGAAAGATGAAGAAGACAGAACATTTTCTATTTCTATTTCCATTTTGCAAGCAGAGGGAGATAGTTTATGTTCTTACTGCGTGACAAAGGGCCAAGAATCTTCTGAGATGGCCATCCCACTTCTACACCTCTACACCCCATGGGCAGCCTTGTGTCCTCTCAACACTTCCTTTGGCTGTGCCAAATACACACGTGCAGAGGGAAGAATTCAGCTGAAGCTCTGGCCAGAGTCAGCCCCATGTTTCTCCCTTCCTAGCAGAAGAGGATTCAAAGATTTCTAAGGATGCATGACAAACTGTGCCATCTGCTGTTCCTGGTAGGCTCTGCTGGGTCTTAGTTTGGGAGGGAGAGAGACAAGGGGATTGCTCTTTAAAGTGAACTTTGTTATCTTCCCGTCTTTCTAATGATACAAAAAAAATGTAAAGTCTTGCATCAGCCACAGTGCAGGTTTTCTCATGCTTCATTATGCTTCATGCTAACAGTGCATGCAAAGAGGTGTAATATGTCACCCTCGGGCCAGAAGCAGACATCAAAAAGGTCAAATGGCTCAAATGAGATAAAAATGAAGTGTTTGGGAATATCTATTCAGGTCTTTTCTTTTTTTCTTTATCTCTTATAAATTTTTGTAAACAATCCAGGCATTGAAGCCAAACCCCCTTCATCCATGTCACAGGACTGGCTACTTACCCTTTCATTTGGCAACAAAGTTTGCTCTAAACAAATTTTGATCAATAACTGTTGTCTAAAAAATAACAGCTGAGATTGCACTTATTCTAAGTGGATTTGGGCTTGGGGCTGCTCAGAGCTCTGGTTCCCATCCATCAGGCACCCTAAGCACCTCACAAGTCCCACTGGTGCCTGTGGGAGGATGTAGCTGCCAAAACTTAAGCACAGCATAAGCCTTTTAATGGGTGGGAGCAGAGACTTCAGCAGCCTTCTGGACTCCGCTGTTTTCTGCAGCCACAGCTGAATAAAGGAGGAAAGAAAAAAAAATTCACTGGAAAAGGGAGCAGTTATTAAAATAAAAATCTAAATGTCCCAGGAGCATAGTGGGCATGTGTGACCAGATTTTTAATCAGTATTAGAAACTGCAAAAACAGGGGAAGAGAAAGTCATTAACATGAAGCTGATACAGCAACAGACTTGTATTGAATAAAATAAATATCCCAGTTTGAAGCCTCCTCCCCTCATATCCAGAAATCAACTTTTCTCTGTGCAAGGCACAAGCTTTCACATGAAAATCTTGCCTCTAGTAAGATTTGTTGCACGTATAATCTTACAGGTTAAATACAACAAAATCCACTTGAATATGTATTTTTATTTTAAAATCTAAATGTTTCTGCAGATAAGAAGGTTATTTCATTTTCAAATACTATTTCGGGGCCTCATCATTTGGCAGGGAGGAGAAATGGGAAAAAATGCTTTTCTGTTTTTTTTTTCAAGCATAAAGCTTGGGGCTTCTGGAAAATTCTCTTTTTTAAATGTTTGAGCTAGCTGAGTGGGTAAGGGTAAGCTTTCAATATTCCTTTTACTCACATTTCTCTAGTGAAGATTACTCAGAGCAGCTTAAATAAAAATCAAGAGATTTGTCACATATTAGTGCTTAGGGAGGTAAATATATTTAGGAAAAAAAATATTTGAGGCTAAGCTTTCTGCATTTAAGAATCATCTACTGTTTCTGCATGGAAAATGACTTTCTGGCAAATATTTATACCTCCCTTGTGCTCCAGTGGTATCAATGCAAGGTGAAAATACAGCCCAGTCATGGCCTTGCTGCCCAGAACTCAGAATGCCCTAAAATGGGTATTTTGGTGAGAATATGTTCCTCATGGCTTGAGCTTCAGGTATGGTTTTACTTAAAGAGAATTTAATGAGAAATATTTCACTGTGGACTGGGTTTGACTCCTGCTCTTTTTCCTTGGAAAATCAGGATTTATTTATTTTTTCAATGTAAGTCCTATGGTAGTAATATTTTAACATATTTTTTTCCTCCATGGTCAGTAGAGTGGCATCAGCAAGAAACAGAGATCACTGCGTTCATCAGCTACAAAACACTTCATTCTTACTTTGTGGGTAAATATTCCACCTTTTACCCCTGAAGATAGCCTGATAAAATATGAGATTTTAGGAAGATATAATTTAGCCTTCTAGCACCTAGAAGAAGACTGACAATAGAAAACACACTCTCTGAAGGAACTGATGGTTATTGATGACTGTATGAATGTCCCTTTTTTGTCTTCCTTTGGCTGGCCTGGTTTGAAAGCTCATCACTGAAAGCAAATCAGAGCACACCCAGAGTAGCAAGCCCTTTGTGTCAGGATTTCACAGGCTGCTTTGCTAAGTGATAGATGCCGTCATATAACTGGCATGAAAGGGGTTTGACCTTAAGCAAATGAAAAAACCCAGAGAAAGCGGCATTTTGGTGAATCCTAACCTAGGCGAGTATTGGGGAGATTCTTTGGAAGAATACATGGGTCCTTTGGTTGGATACTTCTTATGCCGGGGAGTTGAAGGGGGTGGGGGACCCACAATCATATCTATCCTGGCAAAGTAAATAAGAGAAAAGACACCAGCAAAATGCATAATGAAGCAACACGTAGAGAAAAGTTGGTCAGAAAAGTTGCAGAAGGAAACAACTGAAAAACAGAACGACAGAGAGAGACAGAAAGAGAGAGAATTTGAAAATATATTCCGCTGGAAACAGAAGGCTCTCTCCTACCACCTGGTTGTTGGTGTCTTACCCACCTCAGGGTAAGATTTGGAGATTTAGGCACCACGGCAACACCATTAGGAGTTCCCCCCGCCCCAGATACAACAGGCAACATGCTTTACCCTCTGGAATATATTTGCATATGTGTAGCAATATCCCATTGAGGTGGTTGGATATGAAACAACATATATTCATTCTCCTTTCAGTTCCAGGGCTAGGGAACACATCCTCAGCTAGCTCAGGGAAGCATGAGCTGTTGGGAGTCGGCGAGGTACGCTGCGGGATTGTGTAACTCAATGAATGGGAGACATCCATGGCTGGCGAGGTGTCAGGATGAAACACGAGACAATGTGAACACAACACTGAAAAGAGCACATTGCAGACACAGTGACAGAGGCTTTAATGATTAAAGAGGAAAGTGCATGTAAACACCCCAGAAATATGCTTGAATGCAGCTGTAATCCACCAAAGCCCTGGCTACGGGAGGTCACAGCCAGCCCTGCCGAGCTGAGCTGGCAGGGGGAACACAGCTCCCAGATTGGTTGATGAAGGAAAGGGAAATTAAAATATCTGTTCTCCAAGGTGCCCTGTGACAAACCACCCTGGGATCCACTGCAGGGGTGCACAGCCCTGGTGCTGGTTGGTCAAAAACCAACATTGGCCACAAACCAACGTTGGCCACAAACCAACGTTGGCCGTGGCCACCCCAGGCACACACCTTGTCTACAGGGTGCCCTTCCAGTGGTACTGGGCAGGTGACCAGCCATGGGACCTCTTGGTTCACCTGGCTATGATGATGAGGACTCCAAAGGGTGGCCCCAAAGGGATCTGCTCCCATCATCATCACTGATCTCCTGCTCAGTGGGAACAGTGAAGCTGCCTGGTAGCCTTGGGTCTCAAATCCAGGTACTTCACATTTTTGAAGCAGCTCCTGGTCCTCCTGACTTCCCTGTGATGGGATGGGTGGCAGCCCTAGCCTCATCCAGCCTCAGAACCTCATCCTCACAGCTCCACGGGTACTGCTAAGAGGACAAATCAGTTTGGTCTCTGAAAGCTGCAATTCCTTACCCCAATCTCCCAGCAAAAAGCAGCCAAACAAACTACTTTGGCTTTGCAGCACATCACCTGGAAGGCTTGACAGTGGGAGACTTGGGTGGGCAGTGAGGCAATCTGCCACTTCAGCTTGGGTTGAAAATTCAGGTGTCCCTCCTGGAGCCAGCAGAGATGACAACCCCAGTGGCTCAGTACCCACTGCAGAGGCAGCTTGGAGGCCTCTTACTTCAGGTTACTAAAGCCAGGAAATATCAATCCCCTCCTCCTCCTCTTCCCCCTCCATATTCAGCTACACATCTTGGATCTATAATCAGTGAATTTGTACTGAACAGGAGTGAGAGGCTCAGAGAGAGGAAATTCTCCAGGATATTTTAGTCTCCATCGCGAGGGAAAATGTACCTTCTGGGAAATGCACAGTGTGCAGCAACACCGAGAAAGTTACCTCTGAGTCTTGAATATCAAAAATAGCAGAGTTAAAACGGTCTCTGAGAGATTCATGGCAGAAGAGAAATTCCTCTTTTTCCCAAGACATTTTTCCTACTTCATTCCTGTGGTTCATGTTAGCTGTTTGCATACCCAAACACATTTTTTTGCACATTTTCTGACTCTACCAGGGACCTAGATGGGTTTGAAATTAGAGGAAAACTTCCTCAACAGATTTCAGAGGAAGCTGGGCTGCCACAACCATCAAGAGAAATAATTTCATTCTCCAAATGTAAAAATAAATGGTGTATTATTTTGACAGGAGTTTGCCTATGGCCAAGTCCTGCCACTGTTCTGGGTGTCCTTCAAGCTCAGCAGAACTTCTGCTGAGCTGACACAGCCGTGGGTGTTGGGAGTTTGGGGTCTCCTTTTCAATGTGGGCCACCAGGGCTGAGGGAGGAGTGGTCAGACAATAAGGTTTAGCTCAGATCCTCTGTTCAAAGGACCAGATTTTTCTGTTTGAAGTTTTTTTTTCCCAAGAGAAACTTGAAAATAAAATGGAACCTTCTCAGTTCCATCTGTGCCCTTTTCACATTTCTTCTCCTATTAAAATTAACATGTCTCCCCCTAAAATTTGAGCACAGAAGCTAAAACACAGCTCAGCTAAACCCCACCTACATCGGTGAGCTTGGATGAGAAACCCCCATCTGCACAGACTGTGCCATCCCAGGAGGGATCCCTCCCCAAACAGCTTAGCATCCCAATGTGGGAGGAAGCTGCTGCCTCCTCACTGCTCTCTCTGTCTGTGGCAGCAGGGCCACAACCAGGACACCAAATTTTTTTCTTATACCACTCCAGAAAGTTATCAAATGACCCACATTTGCCTCTAAGACTGGGGCACCAACCTTTGCATCCTGGACCATGGAGATACGTCCACACCTTACCTATGGGATATAATACAATGCCAAAAGCTCCTGAAATAAAATAGGAGGATGAGCCACGATTTTTGTATGTCCTATGGTGGGCAGTAAGGCAGTTTTAGTGGCATAACACTCCCTTTCTGCAGTCCCTGCTCATCCCTGTGGGTTCCAGCCACAGGCACTGATGTTTTCCTTGAGGATTTCTCTTAGGAAAAGAATAAGTTGTAGCTGCAAAGGACAGTGTCTCTCTCGTGACAATACCTCTACAATGAACAAAAACCAGTGAAAAAAAATGAAGCAAAGAGAGGGGTCTCTTGCCTGGCCTGAAGGTTTTTAATCCGGGAGAGCATGTCCAGATGACCAGCTGAGTACTGCTCGATGACATCCATCACGTCGTAGGGCCGAAGGCTCTCCTTAAACTTGCGCTTGGAGACGAGAAACCTCATAATGCTGCAGGAGATGGAGAGGAGAATCAAAATATGGTCCCTGGGCTGCAGCCTGACCCGCTTAATGGCAGATAAAAAACACTGCAGGGAGCTGCTTTGGAAGGAAAGTGGAATAAATCCCAACCCTGCAGGTTTGGGAGAGGATGCGGCAAGAGGAGAGGGGAAGGGGATTGCGGGGGCTGGTGGCTGAAGCCCTGTCTGCGATGGGGGGTCCCTGATGCCCCTTGGACTGTCATCTGTGCATGTGCTGTCTGCATCACTTTTATAAATGTCAGCGCTAAATCTCAAAGCTGGTGAGAACGATCATTTGGATGCATCCCTGCGGGAGATTTTCCTGTTTCTCCATTTATTCCTTCCCTAAGCAAAAATCGCCCTTTCTGGCAAAATTTTCTGTAAAGCAGGGCAAGCCACCCAGGGGAAAAACAGCCTGCAGCACAGACATGTCAGCATTTGCCACCACTTCTTGGGCTTTACACTAATTTTTCCCTATTATTTACTTTCTTGGACTGCTTCCCCCCTCTCCCTCTCTTACCACACTGCCCTGATGCTGACTTTCAGCCCTGGTGTCAAATCTTCTGTCACAAACTCGCAGTTGCAGCTTTTGTTCTCATCGGGGATGTCTTCTCCAGGGAGGCTTGCTTCTGGGTTTGGGAGAGAGAGGAATAAAAACAACATGTTACCATTTCCCGTGCCGGTGACGCACAAGGGAAGACGAGTCAGATCACAGTCAGCAACCCCTGGGCAGGCACCAGAGATGCCTTTGCTGACCATCCAAAGCAGAGCATTTCCTGAGACGTGTCCAGGTGACATTCAGCAGTGCCAACTGCAGCTCTCATCCATCTCTTGATCAGAGAATCACAGTATCATTTGGGTTGGAAAAGTACTCTAAGATCCCTGAGTCCAACCATTACCCCAGCACGGGCCAAGCCCAACCACTAAACCATGTCCCCAAAAGCCACATCTGCGTGTCTTTTAAATCCATCCAGGGTTGGCAACTCCACCACTGCCCTGGGGAGCCTGTGTCAGGGTTGGACCACCCTTTCAGTGAAGAAATTTTTCCTAATATCCAACCTAAGCCTCTCCTCTCACAACTTGAGGTCATTTCCCTTTGTCCTAAAGCCTGACTCTTCCTCCTTTCCCCATCCCTATATACCGAAATATATACATTGTCACGGGTGTCAGAAGGGCTTTTGTTGCCTCTTGTAATCATCATTGAATAGTTTGAGTTGGAAGGGACCTTTAAAAGGCCACTTAGTTCAACACATCTGCAATAGCAGGGACATCTTCCACTAGATCAGGTTCCTCAGGCTACTCCAAGCTAAAGGACTGGGGGGGGGAAGGAGACCCACATAAGCACCTTGGATGGCACCTCCTTAGGTGGGGAGGGAGAGGATGTCGGGGCCAGCTGGGAATCTGGGGGTCTCTCACGGTGCCCCAAACCCTCACCTTCCGAGTTCTGCCGCGACGCCGCTCCCTTGATGCGGAAAGCTTGCCGGGCTCGGCTGCGGTCTCCGAAGCTCCAGCTCTTGGGCACTTTGCTTGGGCTGTCCTCGATGCTCTGGTCAGCACTGGGGGACCTCCTCATGCCCTGAGCCTGTGGAGAGCCTTTCCCTTTGGTGCCAGCACCGCGGGGACTGGAGAAGACACGATCTTTCAAACTGACCTTCTGACTGTTCAGAGAAACACGTTGAAACAAAGACAAAAAGGAGACAGCAGGAGGAGTCATTCTGGAAACCACGCAGTCCTTCCCCACCAGCCATTAGAAACCAAGAGCACTTCCAAGCAGCAGTGACATGTAGTTTTGCTGTTGGTTTTTTTTTTTCCAATATATGTGGGTTTTTTATTTTTTTAAAAAAAGAAAGCTTTGTAGAGATGTTTCCGTCATCATGAGTGAAATGGGAATGATTCTTAAGAGAGAGAAAATAATGAGGACTTAAACAGAAGCCCCTTGTGGGATGCCAGGGCTGGCGGGACAGAATGACATCAACAATGAGGTTATGATTCCTTAAATCACTGATCAGCTCCGGTCACGAGTTAGGAAGCTTTTCTTTCACAACTGCCTTCCAAAACACTATGTCTAATAAGAAAATACCATAAAAAAATCACCCATTATCTTAAAACTTTTAGCTTTCGTGGAAACACTTTGCTTCTGGTGCTCAGACCTGTCCTTTCCCTTTCTTCAACTCCTGCACTTCCTCCCTCTTAAAACACGATCTGCCCCTTTTATATATTCCAAAGGGTTCCTCTTTATCCAGTCATATATTCAAACACTTAAATACAAACACTTAAATGTGCAACTCCTTCGTATCCTATAAAAATTCAATCTAAAAGCTGCCATCTCCCTGAAGGTCTGCTACGGGTGTCATAAACATGCAAAGCAAAATTTTACAACTTCAGAATACGGCATTTTATTACTTTTTTTCCTGCTAGAATCCTTGGATTTATGGTTTGAAAAGAAGCACTCTGCAGAAACAGAGATGAACTCACTGGGAAACAGTCTGCTGGCAACCCAGCTCTAACTAGTTTCCAAATTCTGAAATTTGCAATTAAAACCTTTCACTCAAATGAAGATAACAAATTTTCACTTGAAAATTGCAGAACAAAGACATTTTGTGAATCATTACAAAAGGGCAAACTTTATAGAGACAGCATTGGGGAAACCAAACTGCAAGTACTTTTGAGTCATTTGATATTTTCTCAATAGCAATTAATGATTAAACTACACTGACAGAGGTTGGATAACCAGTGCAACGTACTTGCACACAGAGCCAATATTTTATATATAGGTATATCAAAACTGAGTGAAAACAGGAATTTAATTCCCAACACTCTGTACCATCGCAGTAGCCACTTATCATTTTGCTGCAAATGCTCTGCCTGAATTCACAGGAAGAACATTTGAGGAAATTTTGATTTCCACATCAGATTTCTAGCTCACCAACCAAAGACCTGCTTTTTTTTTTTTGCGTGCGTCTTTCAGCAACACCACCTGAACACTCAGAGCCAAACAGCCCTCCTTTGCCTTCAAAACTGGCACGGGGCTCTTCAAGCAGAGCTTGGCTGCTGGTTTCTGAAGCAAAGCAAAACGCGGCTCCCTTTTCGCAGCCGCCGGCTGTTCTCTGCTGACAGGAGCAGACACACTCCCTGCCCAGTAAAGGGAGAAGACGTGACCCGAGGACACTCAGGGAGCAGATCTGTCGAGTAAGAAGGTGCTATTTTTACAAAGTCACTTTACATTGCGAGACAACAAACACTGACAGGGGGAGAAAGGTGCTTAGGCAGCAGTTTGCAGAGTTGCATCCCCTGTGCTGCAGGGCAGGGTTAGCTGTGGCCACGGGCTCAGCAGCAACTGCACATTGAAAGACACATTCGAGAGAAAATAAAATTGCTCATGAGCAAGTTAGAAAAGGCAGAATAAACCCAATTAATGATGAATTATTAATTCAGATAAGTGCTGGAGACTGAATTCCCAGTCTGGTGCCCACCTGCAGGGGCTGTCTGAAAGCCATGGGACCAACAGACCTTCAGCAGAGCTGAAATTCAGGTCAGAGGTAAAAATGCACACAGGAATCTGGGAACAAGCACGTGCCTAAATACCTTTCTGGATGTAAGCCTTAGCCACTAATGCTACCAAAATCACTGCACATAATGAGCCAAAGGTTTAAAAGCAATTCTCATTCTGTGTTTATTGGATAAGAAACCAGATTGAAATTTTGTCATTTGGTTCTAAATAGGCCAATTGGATTTTTTTTTCCTTTATTTTTTTGTTGATTTTACAGAAGAATATTTCTTGAATCCATTGAGTTTCAGCAGTACTAATGCTTTGAATTACCTGGTCTTTTCTAAAAATAAATTTTATAAAAATGCATCAGCAACACAGAAATATTCAGAATTCAAAGCAGTCTCTTTGTGCCTCATCCTCTGCTGTGTTGCTCCCATCACCGATCCCAGCATAAAATGAGTTGCCTTTCACTGAGTAAAGCAGAGCCTTTTCCTTGGGGACCTTCTCCCATTCCCACAATAAATGTGCTGAAAATGTTTGCAGGAATCACAAAAGGCAAAAAAGAAAGAGTTCAACTCGGTGAGGGATATGAGCAAAGAGTTTCAAGCCTGACAGCCTGAGGTGCAACACATTGAAAAATCTCACAGAAATCTGATGAACAGCTAAGATCTGGGTGGGTTTTGTTCCCAAGTACTCACTACTCAGGAAAAAAACCCAACACCTGATACAACCTGTTTTTTTTAACACAGATGACATGAGACAACACAAACAATTAATTGAAATTTTTCCTTCTGCCATGCAATTTTCTCCTTGGAAACGACACCTGGAATCACATGCAAGTACAATCCCTGCAGAGGAGAATGCTGTTGGGGTCAGCAGGAGCTGGTAGGAGAAAGTCCCAAAGAAATACAGACATATATAGGGATATATGTTGCCAGCTAATCCAAGATCATGTTCTCATTCAACCAGAAAGTCATGCAGAGGCACGTGGAGTGTCTTGGAGAAGGGGTGTTTGGATGTCACTCGAGAGGATGGTAGATGAGCCTCAGTTCAGTGGAGAGTGCATGTGTTGGTGACATGAACATGAGGACAGCAGTACCCCAGCCACACACACAGCATGGACTGATGCTCACAGTCGTGCCCTGCTCGTGCCAGGGGAAGGGAAGGGAGAGAGAACTGTGGCTTTGCAACCAGAGACAGATTATGGGAAGCCATAACATCCTAACAGGGTGTGCTTTAGCTCTACATCCTCGTAACCGCTTTCAGTTGGCATCTATGAAAACATATTTGATAACAAAAGAATTACATTTCCAGGCTGACTTTGGAGATGGTTTAAAAAACTTTCAGCTTTTGACTTGAATTTAATGAAGGATAGAAGCTGAGTTGGTTTTTCTCAGCTGCCAGCCAAAAAATGAGAGCCCAGTGCTGGACAGACATGAAAGGGCCACGGCTGATGGAGGGATTCTCACTGCTCTAGTGGGCTTTGCATTTTGGTTCATTTAAGTCCAACAGCTCAGCACTCAGCAGAGAAATTCTTGAGAGCTGACCTTCAAAATGAGCTGCCATCAGCCTCCTTAGGACACCAGGGGTTTGAGGTCCTGTTTGAAACACTCTGGTTTGGGGTTCATTCCAGTTCTCTACAGTATTAAATCAGCACTTTTAAAAAATGTGGACTCATTACATTAGCAGTAATTTTGGATCAATAAAAAGTATCAGTTGTAATGTCTTGTCATTGATTTTAAACTATGCTTGAGCCATTACTTCTTTTTCTCCTCAGTTAGCCAAACTGAGTTGGACTAGCACAGACTCAGATCCATCTCTGCATCCAAACTCAACCAGTATCAGTGCTCATTCTTCTGAGAAGCTGTGGCCAGGAGAAAGGGTTTGTCTCCTGTTGGTAAATGAGGTACATTTTTTAAATCCAGAGTTTGTGCTGAGCTCGTGGCATATGAGAACTGCTCATTAAAACCAAGCAGAAGTGCCAGGAATGAATGACAGCCTTTGTGGCTGACTGGGCTCCAGTCTGATTGCAGGTGTGAATAAGAGGCAGAAACCAATTACTGGGGATATGAAGGAAAGGAAAATACAACTGTGTGTGCAAAACTTGCCATGACTAAAACAGAAATCATGAGAGGGCCAAGCTCAAGCCTGGTTTGCCTCCAGTGATTTCAGGTGAATTCAGCCTAGAGGATGGAGTTTCTAGAAGCAGAATAACCTGGGCATAAGGGAAAGAAAATGTCAGCCAGTGATCATGTCACAGTGAGTAGTCCCTCTTCTTTTCCTCTTTCACAACCACAGTGGAATCACTGGAACTATAATGGCAAAGACTGGGGTTGCCCCATCCCCGCAGCCACCACATAAGCACGGGAAAGCATGGGGCCTTGGATGAGTGAAGGGACACTGGAGCCAGCCTCAAGTCTGTAACCTTGGCTTTTTGTATTCTGCAGCATTCCATTACAATCACCCCTCTCTTCCTAATTCACAGCCTTTTTTTTTCCCAAATTGATGTTGAGTGCTGTCAGACACCACATCAGCCACATCCTGCATGTCCTCCCAACCTTTTGCTATTTGCCAGCTCAGCTGTTTTGCATTTCAGGAGCAAAGCAGAACAGCCAGACTGCACCTCCAAGCTGGCTGATTGTTCCTGAGCAAGCTTTTAAGACACCCAGAGCCACAGGCCAGTCAAAGGTCGTGCAGACACCTTTCCTTCACTGGCCTGGGTGCCACTTCTTCCCATTGTCAGGTCTCTGAGGTGCCTTCATCTGTGAGTGCACCAGGAAAAGTCTCTTACAAAGCAGAACACGATAGACCTGATAACCTGGCTTGGTGTAGTTACATTACTGTCTAAAAATTAATGTGTTATTGCAGTTATTGACTAAAGATCATTGGTTTAGTACATTAAGAAACCACAGCTTCTAAGGAGTTTCCTATTAATTTACCTACATTGAGTTTTCCATGATTGCTTCATCGTTTACGGTTATTTCGTTTTATGCATCCTAGATGAAGGCTTTTAGCACTCAGCCTTAGATGCATCAAAGTGCTGGCATCTGCCACAAGAGCCTGTGCAGTGGGGATTGTGGGCAGGCACCCAAGGGTCCAGGAAAACAAGACATCTGAATTATTTTTATGTCCCTTCACAGTTCACCTACAGTTATACTAAAGCACAGG